AACAACATTGGGTAAGTGTCGGATAATTTAACCTCGCTTGGCCGATGTCGCGCGCCTAATATTCGGTCCTGTGTCTGACTTGGTTTGTGAGTATTTAAATCGATTATTCATTTTATTTCTAATTAAAGAGAAACAAAAGAACATAGCTCAAATATTTTTACGTTACAACTTTTTTAAACTTAATTGGATTAAAACGAAAAATTTCCTACTTATAATTTTGAATAATTTAAGTAGCATTTATGATCCATTTTAAAAAAAAAAACTTTTTTTATTTAATGAGATGGAAAAATTGCATTTCATATTCAGAATATTGGATTGAGCAGTATTCACGTTGCACAGAAATTGCTGATGTTATTTTTGAATTTAATTGAATTAAAAAAACTGTATATCCTATTCACAATTCTGAATTGAGTATTCATGATGCACAATAAATGCTAATATTATTTTTAAATTGAATTGCATAAAGATATATGCTCTATGCAATTCCTATAAATGAATAAAAATGCATTCAGGAATGAAAAGGATTCATTTTAACTTTTATGAATCCATATTTCTGAAAATCTGAATCTATTTTAATCCATTTCAATCCATTTTCGTTTGCTGGGTATTCAACAGTTACACTAACATTTGGCAAATTACTTATTAATTATTTGTTTACGTATATCATATTTGCATCTGCAATTAAATTCACAAAAACAACTTTGTGCTGATAATTCCGTTCATTTAATTGTTCAATTGAACACTTTTTGCAGCATATTAAATAAAAAAACATAGTTCATGTGACTTAAATTTGTTACTCAGATATGCACTCCATACTCAAACGTGATTTTTTTTTAGTAATGAATCAAAAAAATAAAAATTCAAGAAACTAAAAATTTTATGGTTACAATTACCTTGCAAAATATTTGGCTAAGCTACTTGTATCTCGTCGAGCTATCCCAGATCTAAAAAAAAATCATGTTTCTACGTCGATTTATATGCTGAGAAAATGTAACTTTAGCAAATTTCAACGCATGAAATCCGATACGCGTGAATCGCCGAGCGATCCGATCATCTTCACTCGACCGCGTGTCGGCTTCCCCCATTCCATCCTGCGCGCTGCCGCGCTCGTATTCCTCAACTTTCCAATGATTTTAAACAAACTTTTTCGGCAAAAAATTCGAGAATTTTTTAATAGCAAATTCAATTCTTCCTTGACAAATTGGTGCCAAACGGAACTTAATCTTAAAAATTAGAGCCAGATTTTTTGAAAAAAAATTATCTCGGCTCTTAATAATCGGAGAGTAATCTTTTTTTTTTTAATTCAGAAAAATGTCAGCTGTCAAGTGCTTCACATGACTATTTGATATAATGCATCGGAATTATTCCATTTTTTTATACGAAAAAAGATCCTCACTTTTCGTTTTAAAAAGTCGTTTTATAATAGTTTAACTGCAAAAAAATCGGTTTGTTACTAAGTGTACGTGATAGTGCAACTCTTGAAGAAGAAAAATCATCCCTGTAAATTGTACTGTGCGACTATTCAAAAATGAAGAAAATAAATTTTTCGCTGAAGGGACAGGTTTTTAGTGAACAAATGGCTTTTTGCAAAAACTAATGAACATTTCAAGCTCGTTCAGAGCTATTAGGTTATTTGGAAAGTAATTTCGTTTTTTCTTATGAAAATGAAAGACGATTTTCAATCAGACGCGTTTCAAATGATCATGAACGGTCGAATTCGATAAATTTAATCTCTCAGCGATCTCACGAGTTGTTATTCGCCGGTTTGCATCAATTAATGCCGTTATTGTGTCTTCATCAGCTTCAATTGGCCTTCCAGAACGTGGTGCATCTTCAACATCAAAATTGCCGGATCGAAATTTTGCAAACCAGTTTTGGCACTGGCATTCTGTCAATACATCTTCTCCATAATCGGATAATTTTTTTCTTGCTTGAACAGCATTTTTACCTTTTCGGTAGTAAAAAAGTAAAATATGCCGAAAATGCTGCTTTTCACTTTCATATTTGATAGGGCACCAACCAAAAACTACTGTGTAGAATCAATCGAACTTTTTTCACAAGCACGCTTTGCTATATCAGCTGTCAAAATATATAATGATTATGCGGTTTAAGTGTGAAGTTGGCTGTGAAAAAATACAATAAGTCCTCTGTTGGGAAAAAAACGAAATTACTTTCCGAACAACCTAATAGATTTGTTCGTTATTACGAGGGCTAAATTTTACGAGAATTTCAAAGCTTTGCGTTTAAATATCAATAAAGAGAGCGAGTGAAAAAAGATCTTTTTCAGTCTTTTATTTTTTTTTCTACTTAACTAATAGATCAATTTTAATGTTCCACATCTAATTTTCTAAGTATCTCGAATACTTACATTTTTCATGCCAAATTTTTTTCAATACAATCAATATTTCGTTTTATAAGCGAAAAACGAGCTTTTTTTGAAATTATTTGATTTTTTTTGCATATTTTCTTCACAAGTCTCGAGTCTCAAACATACGCATTTCTTTTCTGATGGCCTTTCGAGAATTTTCTGAAGAGAAATGCTGGTTTATAATTTTTTTCCGATAAAATTTTACTTCTACTCGAGATAAATTCTATTCTTGCTACTCGAATTTATGAAGGACGAGTGTACTATATAACGTGCATGAAAAATCATAAACAATTAAATATCTCGTAAACTGCGTTTTAAGATGATTTATACTATTCTGGATTAATGGGAGAAGTACACTATTACTTCGATCTATTAAAACTTATGTTATTTAGAATGCCCCTCGTCTCTCATTGATGCCTGGAGCCGCCGAGCAGCCGAGATTGCCGAGAAAACATTTTTGCTTGAAACAATAAGCGACTAGTGATGAGAAGGAGCTCGCTGTCTCGTTCACTCTCGGCGCACCGCAGATGAGTTCACGTACATGAGCACGTGCTTGCATGTGTGTTACAGCGCCGCACCATGGTAAATGACTGAACTTGTAAGTAGATGTTTTGATGACGAAATTTATGTTGCATGTCATTTTGTTATTATTTACTTAATTGTGAAAATGTGACTTATCTCATATCAAATTCATAATTATCGATGACAACTAAAGTTATCTTGGAATTTTATATCCAAATAGTAAAAGCGTATATTTTACTCGTTTCAACAGTTGTCAGACCGTGTGTTTCTGCCCGAATATAGGCTCACTTTACGTGCCTTTTACAACCATTTACTATTAAGGGAGGAAAGGAGAATTCTCATCGAGTAGAATTTTACAAGTATTTTAAAGCGAGCTCATTAAAAAAATTTTAAACCGTTTTGTTTTATCCAAATTATTTTTATTTAAAAATGGCATGCAACTTAAATATTAAAATAATTAAGAGTTAAAAACTGATAATATTGTACTAATTTTATGATTTATTAATTTAGTAGACGTATTCATGCATTTAGAATTCAATAATACTCGATTTTTCTTTAAAATTGTAATTTCAGGGTTATCGTCGAAGTTTGATTATCAACAGAGATGATAACTGCAGAGAAAAATTGTAATTTTTCTGCAATATAAAGGATATTATAGCTTTACAAGTATTCATATTTATTTATGGAACATTTATGTAATAAAAAATCAAATTGAATAATGTATAAGCCAAATATTTATGTTAATAATAGCAAATTTATATTAATTGTCGATAATGTCAGCATTCTTACCTCCGGGCCCTTGGGGCTCTTTTATACCGCCGAAAATTTACCTACGGTTGATGGTTTTTAACAGTATCTCATCGGTGTCTTAATTAAGAATTTTTTAAAATGGAATTGCATTCATATTCATCTCACGAATCTAATACTTTCCTGTAAACAATATGGGATGCCACTTTTATCTTGCACTAAAACGTTTTTTATTCCTTGCCTGCACGCTTACACTCGTCAGTACTGGATTGCTCTAGTTTAATTCAATTCAGTTCTAGTGGAGGAACAGAGAGAGAGAGAGATAACAAATCTTGGTTCTGCTCTCGTTCCACCCGTTAGGGTCTGAGCACAGAATTGTCGTAACATTTATTTAAACTTAAGTTGTAGACGTAAGTAACACACAAGCTTTCACGTTTGACGTACAACTGATTACCGTGTCTCCAAGAGACGGCAAATAGGCGTATGTCATACGCCAAAGCTTATGTGTTACTTACATCAACAACTTAAGTCTCTAAATAAGTGTTACGATAATTCTTGTGCTCAGACCTTTACGCTACTCCGTCGTATGCATAAGCATCCTAACGTATATTGTGGCTGTATTCCAAAAAAAAATTATTATATTGCTTATAATGGTCTACTGACATCATATTTCATGAATTTCGCGCGACACGTAACATTTAGGGTGCGTTTCCATATTCACTACCAGTATTAAAACTATACAGGCTGTGTTCCAAAATTTATTGCCAGTACTAAAATCTATAATTTACGTCACGTGCACTATAGAATTTTAGTACTGGCAATAAATTTTGGAACACAGCCTGTATAGTTTTAATACTGGTAGTGAATATGGAAACGCACCCTAAATGTTACGTGTCGCGCGAAATTCATGAAATATGATGTCAGTAGAGCATTATAAGCAATATAATAATTTTAATAATTTAATAATTAATTAATATTTAATAATGATAATTATTATATATAATTAATTAATAGCAAAATGAATAAAATATTAACTAAAAAAATAAAATATTAAATTAATAAAATTATTAATTAATATTATTTATATAATTAATTATTATAATATATTATTATATTTATAATTAAAAATTAATTAATAATTCATAATTCATAATTTTAACTTTAATTGTAATAATTTTTTAAATAATAATTTTAATAATTTTTTCTATCTTAAGGATTTATTACAGAGACGAACCACATCTTCTTTTAACGATACGATTTTATTGACAGTGTTGGAAAATGTATGTAGTCACGTAGTTCCCAAACCGAAAATGGATGTATTGGCAGTAGTGTACGAGTGATTTCGACAGTACAGGGAAAAGGCCACCATCGTCTCTCAGGTTTTTCTCTGATGGTACTATAACCTTTTTAATGAATTAGAGAATCCTACGTCTAAGAAAGAATGTTTTGATTCATTTGGGAGCAGGTGTCATTTACCTAAAAAAGAAGATTTGATTATATTTGTTGACATACAGAATAGCAATGTCAGAAGAAATTTCAATAAAGGGCTTAAGTCATGAAAGAGATAAGAATGATTCTACAACGGTGTCGGAATTATTTGACAATGCTTTCGAAATGTTTAACAATATTAATGCTACGGTAGAACCAACGAACAGTCCGAAAGTACAGGTAAGATTTTTAAATTCTGATTTTTTGTGATCTTACTATTTAGCTGATTCTGCAATGAGTCGATAGTTGGTAGTCCTAAGTCTTATATACGTTCTACAATAAGCCATTAATAATAAATCAGAAGTCAGAAGCTAAAAATTAATAACTGTGATTGGTACAATTTCCAACTTCTAACTTCTGATTTATGACTAATGGCTTATTGTAGAATATATGTTATGGACCTTTTACAATAAGCTATTAGTCATAAATCAGAAGTCAGAAACTAAAAATTGACGGCCATTCTACAATAAGCCATTAGTCATAAATCAGAAGTTAGAAGTTGGAAATTGAATCAATCACAGTTATTAATTTTTAGCTTCTGACTTCTGATTTATGGCTTATTGTAGAAAGTCCATTATGATAATTCTACAATGAGTCGGTAGTCAGAAATCTTAAGTCTTAACCAGTTTTAACTACGACCTAAATAATTGACTATGATTTTTCGCATCTACTAGTTGTTAATTGTACAGTAAGTCGTTTAGCTCGATTAATAGAAAGGAATAAAATCGAATTTGAGTCATACAAGTTGATTGTTGGCCAACTTCACCGATAAGACTTAGGACTACTGATTATTGACTCATTGTAGAATCAGCTTTAATTCTATTCAGCAGAAAAAGCAGCATATTCAAGAATTTTACATTGCAAAGAATTGCAAATCTGCTCTTTCTACTGAACGCAGCAGAAATTTATCATTGAATCGGTGAAGATGGCCAACAGCTAACTTGTACGACTAAGACTATCGATTTTCTTACGATTGAGCAAATTCGATTTTATTCCTTTCCATTAATCGAGCTAAACTCACTGTACAATTAACAACTAGTAGATGCGAAAAATTACCTATTTAGGTTAAAATTGGTTAAGACTTAAGATTTTTTACTACCGACTCATTGTACAATCAGCATTAGCCCGGATCTACAATAGATTTTTAAGCCTTAAGCCGTAAGAAATGGACAAATCATAGTTGATTATTCTTCTCGCATTTGATTGTAATTGATCAGTTTCTTACAGCTTGAGACTTAAAACATCTATTGTAGATTCGGATTTACCCCGGATCTTCATAATAAGTGTTTTAAGCCTTAAATTGTAAGAAATTGACTAATTATAGTCGAATTCAAGAAGAATAATCGACTATGATTCGTCCATTTTTTAAGGGACTTAAGGCTTAGAACTCTATTGTAGATCCAGAGTTAGGCTCTTCACGTAAGAACAGCCATAACGTTATGTTACATCATATTTACTGATTGTAAACTAGAACTTGGGGATCAATCGTAATTTTTTCTCTAGAGCGAAAACGTGAAAAGTAAAAATTTTTGTACAAATGCATCGGATGTCCAGCTAGTCTATCTGATTTTTGACAATTTATACGACTGTATATTGAAATGACATGCATCATGGTGTGAATATCCCGAGAACTTTTCTTATTACTGATATATCTTTTAGAAATATAGTATCGGATATATTTGCCAGATAAAATTTCAGCCATATATATATATATATATATATATATATGTATGTATATTATTAAAGACCGACCAATTTCGCCCACCTTTCCCTCCTCCACCCACAATTCTCTTCTTCCCCCCACTACTCCAGCAAGCAGCGTAATATAAAAGGAATGGGATGAGAGGAAAAAGAGGAATTAAAAAAGGTTATGATGGATTATATAAGATGGATGTTTAGTCTGGATTTCTGCACCTCACACAAAGTATTTCATTATAAAGGAGCTTTTTATGGATAAATTTAGAATAGGATGGGAAATAAGAGCAAGCAAATTTGAATATAAAATAAAATCAGGAAGGATAGGAAATTTGACAAACGCGAGCTGGGAAGAAAAAAAAAGGAATGGATGGGGGGATCCGGACAGGAAAAGATGAGGTATTACAATAGGAATAGTTGGGGTATAGAAGCAAGAGAAGTGATGTATGGGGAGGAAGGTTTTGAGGATTAATTAATAAACAAGGAAAGAAAGGTGCAAAGACAGTGGGAAGACTGTAAAATTCATAAGGCAAGGTATGAGAGATATAAGGGAGACGAGCGAGAGATATAAGGAAATAGAGGCAAACGGCAGAGTTCCGGAGCATTTGAGAAAAGAAAACTTAGGGGAAAGAAAAAGAGGAGAAGAGGTGAAAGCCTTGTTCAAATTAAGGTGTGGGAACCTGGAGGAAGGTAATAAATATTGAGTAGAAGAGTATAGGAAAAAGTATATTTTGTGTAATGGAAAAGATAATTTAAAGCACTATGTAGAGGAATGTTTGGAAATAAGAGAAAGGTTTACTAAATTAGGAAAAGATAAGGAAGAGATCTTAAGGAGACTGTATGATGAGAATTTAGATGAGGTGAAAGGAGAAATAATAAGGAAATTATGGAAAGAGAGGGAAGAAGCAAAAAGAAGAAGGGAGACGAGGTAGGAGTCAAAAGAGGAAATGGAGGAAATGTATAGATAGAGTGATGGTAGGTAGAGAAAAGGAAAGTAAGTAAGATGAATTAATGAGTAAGTAAGATATAAATAGGCGATAATAATGGGCGATGATAAGGCTATGATATAGAGATAACGTATGTATTGAACGAGAGTATATAACATTAGAAGTAGATATAACTATGACAGAAAAGCAAATCAAGCGAAAAGAAATAAAGTAGGTAAAGAAGCGAAGCCAGAAGGTTTAACCAGAAAAGTAGGAAAGTAAAGGGATAAGCAAAAAATTATTGTAATAATATATGTGTGACAGCATGCAGACGAGGTATGGAAGAGTGAATGTTAAGTATTTATGTAAAGCAGTTCCCTTCTTGGCTGTATATGCTGAAGTGTAATAAATTCTATTTTATAAAAGGAATGGCTCAGAGAAACAGCTCAGTATCAAACTGCTCCTCGCCCCGATGAAGTGGACTACAATATTCACGAAATGTTGGCATTCTAAGAATGAATCTGGATACAGAGAAAACCCACGAAACGCTTAATCTTTATATAGAAAGCACTCGTGGAAGCTTCAAGAATATTATACATATATGTGTTGCCAGAAATCAAATACTAGCTGGATATCTGGTGCATTTCTAATTTTTTGTATATATGTGTGGATAGGTGCGTTTGGAGAGACATTATAAACACTATTTGTGTTATTCTATTCCTTGTTTTATATCTAATAAACAACAAAGATGGAATGACAAAAGTAGCGCTAATAGTGTCTCCCCGAACGCACCATATATACGTACAAAAAAATTTTACTTTTTATTTTGTTCTAAAGAAAAAGTTACATGGTCGACATCTTGTACGTAACAATATATTTACATGCACAAAGAAAATCAAACGTTATATTATAATTTTGTTTGTGAATTAATACAAGTGTACTGTTACATACAGTGACATACAGGCTCAAGTTTAAGACTAAGGATCTGCTAGATGTTTTAAGCCTTAAGCCGTAAGAAATTGACCAATTACAGTCGAATGTAAGGAGAATAATTGATTGTGATTTGTCCATTCCTTATGGCTTATGGGGCCGCAGTATAGACTCTTGCACAATGCATAGTGCAAGAGTATCAACCAATCGAAATTTTTCTTTTCCATGGATTGGGAGGAATGGAAAGATTCTGATTAATTGATTCGCTTATGCACTATACATTGTGCGTTATGCAAGAGTCTGTGCTGCGGCCATTAAGGCTTAAAAATCTATTGTAGATTCAAGCTAATATTTAATATAATGTGTTATAGACGTTCTTGAGTGGAGAGCTTTCGTTGGACTATATGTGTGTAAATACACACCTACAAATGTAGGCCTGTTCATTTTATTATAACTGAGTTTTTGCACTAGTTCATCTTTTTTCCTTTTCTCTCCAAGAGGAAAAAAGAGGAAGAAAGATGAACCGGTGCAAAAGTTCAGCCAAAAAGAACAGGTCTTATATGTCACAGTTAAAAGATCTGTTCTTTATTCTTGCACTGTCTGAACTGGTGCATACACAATAAGTTGAAGCAAAACAAACATTATTTATAGGTCTGTTCTTTTTGGCTAACTTTTGCACTAGTTCATCCTCTTTTTCTCTCCAGAAGGAAAAAGAGGAAGAAAGATGCACTGGTGCAAAAGTTTTGCCAAAAAGAATAGAGTTTATTTCAACTTATGCACTTCAGATAGTGCAGGAATAAAGAATAGGTCTAAGACCTAAAGTATTGACTTAGTAAATGTTAAGATTTCAAGATTGATTCGGATTTAAAGTTTTCCGGATATCCGTTTATCCGAATTACGAATAAATGTGATGCTTTAAATTCGGGTTATCCGGAGAATTGAATTTTCAAAAATATCCGAATCTTGATTTGAATAGTAAAAGTCGAAATTAGGTTCTCAGATTTGGTTCCGGATTTGTAGAAACTTATAGCGAATTTCGTTGGATTCATTAGTGCGAACTGAGTGCATATTAAAGTCATATTATACACTTATTTAATCTGAGTATAAAAGTGAAATACAAATTCTTCTTTTATTAGCCTTGTACATCTTTGTTATTACTATTTTAAGATTGGGAGTTTGTTCTAAATATTTATATTTATAAACAATATTAAATCTTATAGGACGTATACGTGAGAAACACAACCTTAAGAAACAAATGCCTTAAACCGTGTAGCTGGATTTTAAATGCTTGTATAATTCTGAGTGAATCTATATTTATTTTTTAATTTTTTTTTTTCAATTATATATGTGAATCAATCATTTTAAATAATAACTTATTTAAAAAATAACTTATGTTAAAATTTATTAAATACATCGATTTTTTTTCTTTCTACACATGAATCTAAATCCGGAGCCAAATTCAGATCCAAATCTGAATTTAGATCTGGATCCAAATAATTCGGATATCCGAATTATCTGAATAATAAGGTTTTGAATTCTCGGATCGGAATCAATTTCGGATATCCGAATATCTAGATATCCAAATACTTAGAAGCCTTAGTAAATGTATACATTTACTAGTCAATGAAT